AAAAACCCGCCGGTTCGTCCTAGGAGGTGAAACAGTCACACTCCCTGGAAGTAACATGAACTATACCAGGACCCTCCTGTCGGGGTGTCCTGGCTGGACTACCCCACACTACCGAAAAAGGCTTCCAGACAGGGCACCCCGACAGGAGGGTCCTGGTATAACATGGAAGTTGGGTTTGTCCGTTCTGACCTGTAACAGGACCCGTAAACAATCATTACTATTTTGGGACAAGGCCTGCAACTGAACCATCATCATCCACTGTTACAGGTAATAGGATAGACCGATAGACCCAACATGGAAGTGCAAACCCCGGCAACCCCCCCGTTTGTTTGTAGAGGAACATGATCTCCCAACAAAGGTCCAAATAAGCCATGGCCATGCCATCCACACGACCATGATTGTTCCAGGGAGTGTAGGTTTTGGCAATCCTTAGATGAGGACCTCCCCACCCAAAGCCACGGAATTGTCGTAATGCACGGCACTGGACACGCATAAGCACGCGACACTAGATGCAGAGATGTGCGACCGGACGCGAGCAAAACATGGGTTGGATCTGAGACTTGATTGGATGTGGCAAACCAGAAAAAGAAACAAACTTGCTTTGTTGAAGGCACGATCGTGTAGACTTTTGATTCATCACCCCCCATACAGTATGGCCCCATATGGAGAGGTTTTTCAATCCAAACCGGTGAGTTTTACACATCAACCCTAGGGATCGACAGAGCTTCTCAGGTTCGCTACGACTGGACCCGGAGCCAGTGGCGCCTACATAAACAGTTTTTCCCAGTCTCCGTCCCTCAGAGGGGGGCAGTGGATCCATAGAGCAAGAGTTTAGACATCACCCAGACACTCCACGGGACTGCCATATATGCCGCCCATTGACCCCGCTGGCACCACCTGATCGGCATATATGGCAGTCCCATGGAGTGTCTGGGTTATAGTTTAAGCGCTTTATAACTTGTTGATTCTTGGACCTGGATTCTTGGTCCTACTACTGTACCCTCTATCCAAAAGGGGGGGGTCCAACGAACACGATGGACATTCGTACACTCCAAAACGCGTTCTTTGAGCGCCTGGAACCATCAGAAGAGATTGGACAGCCCCTGAACCAATGAAGGGGTAAAGCAACCAGGTTGGATTTCCAATGTGCATGGGTTGTTCAAACGTCCAGTGAAAACCAGATGGCAATCCATTCTAACAGTTTTATCCTTTTTTTAAATAGAAGTGGGGCCCATCCACTTGCACGTTTATGGGAAGTAATCGAGCAATCGAGTACTCAACAGCCAACACTTATAGGTGAATGAAGAGGCCTTGAGGCATGGCACACGGGGTTTTATAGGATTAGTGCCATTCAGCGACGATTGGGCCTGCTTGGGAATCGGGTCGTTGCAGGGACCCGCCGATCGGCCGATGGGGAGAGAGAAGCTTTGGTGCTCGAGTGGTCGAGCGTTGGACCTGAATCTTCGAGAGTTTGGTGAGCGTTGTTTTCAGCCACTCCACCCCGCCCGCGCACGCGCATGCGCTCCACCCCATACGCGCACGTGGTGGTCCGCGACCGAGGCCTCAGACGTGGTTCTAGAGGCGGTTTTCGGCGGTTCGAGGAGCAAGAGATGGGCGCGGCATGTGTTGCGAGCAATGAGTTGAAAATGAAAACCAAGAAAGTCTTGGAGACCTTCAGGAGATTTTGACCCGAAGCTCCCATGTATGCACATATTGCCTAGATTTGGTGGATGTAGGCCATACTTGCTTATAAATGGAGCCTTTGGGGCCTTGTTGGTCAAGCAGTTCTTGGAGTAGGATGTGGGCAGTCGTCGTCTGACCAGCTGGATTCTTGAGAAGGGACTGACACCAGTTGAACAGGTTTTTTGTTTCGGGCATCTGATTTCACACCTTTCCCTGGCAAAATCACATGCTCTTTCGGAATGGCACCCACTCAGCCAATGCTATCAGTGATCCGATCAAATGATGCGTTGGCCATCGTTGGCCCTTATTTGTTGGTGGGGTGAGGCGGACGCCTAGTCGGACGCGTATCCGTGAGGTTCAGTGACCCAGAGCAGTAAGCGTTGATGAACCGATGAACTCCGAGGAAGATCGGGTGGCCAAAGGCAGGGATTTCGTCATGGGGTGGTGGATCCTCTCCTTATGAGTGACAACCTGAGGAGGATCCACCCATGGGCTTGGTCTTTAAGGTCTGCTACTTTGGGGGTGAGTCCGATCCACTACGGTGCTGCTGGGGCACTTCTGCTAGTCGGGTCCAGTCGTACCGAACCTGAAGTACGGTGGCAGTGGATCCCTACACAGTCGGGTCAGCGAAAAACACTGTGGGCTCGACATGGTTCGACGCTTCGGGTGTTTTCACCCGGCCTGTTGTTGGCCGGGTGCAGACCTGACATCTATGTAGCGAAGGGCACACTTGCCTTACATGCTGCAACATGTAGGCCCCCCCAAGACCCAGGTCTTATGACTATAATCACGAGATTCTTGAAGACACCAGCAACAAGAGTGAACTAAGAGTGAACTATAATTATGTGGGTGGCACATCCCTCCACCAATGTTGTCAAGAGGATTGTTGCCTTTGTCCAGGAGTGGAGTGTTGCTGGGCAGGGAGTCAGACCTCGAGCAAAAGGGGTTCGTGCGATGGGGTGGGCTGTCATCTCAGAAGCAAACACGAAACCAGTTGGCTGACGTGCCAGGTAAACTATGTCTTGACGTGTAAGTTCACTAAGATGGTCCTTGTTGGCACGTATGTATAGGGCTATAGGAGATCTTTGTTTCCCCCACAGCCATGAGATACACTATGTTTGGGAGAGCACTTGGTGGTGCCAAACATGTGCTGCGTTCTTGCTTATGGGTGGCCCTTCAAGACACCACCAACTGCGGCGTCGTGGGGCGTGGTAGTCATGATACTGCTAACATCTGCTAACTTCGGGTTTACTGGAGGCCTCTAATATCCTCTAATGTATTGTACAGGGTTTATACTGCAGTTTGTTTTCCATGTTAGTGTAAACTGGTGCAAATGGGTTGAAATCATCCACACCGAGTCCTTGGTCAATGAGTTCTTGGGGGTATGTCCGGGTCGTCAAGACTATACCTTTCTCGTGTTGCTTTTGACGAGCTGGGCAGGACATGATAGAAAAACCTGAGGGTTTGAAGGGGGCCTGTCAAGCAATGCATTTCATACAACATGGTGCATGTTAGTGCAAATGGTGCAAATGGTGCATGTTAGTGTAAATGGTGCAAATGGATTTGCTGCTTGGTGGAAAGTGAGTTTGGCTGTGTTTGTGCAATTGGGGATTGGGATGCGTGCATGTGTATACGCGGCATGCCACTGGTGAGCTGAATTACTTGTGGTCGCCAAAGAATATCCCACAAGAGTGTGCGGAAGAGTGTCCCACAAGAGAATGTGTCCCACAAGACTGTTACATACTGTTACCAGAGTGTGTTACAAGATGTTACAAGAGTGTCGAAGAAGGGTGTCCCACAAACTAGCCCTGTAGGAGTTAAGATATTTTTCAATGCTATCCTTACTTTCCCTATATAATTGGAAAATGCAACGACAGAGCGTTACAGTAATATTTTTTTGGGGTACGTGTGTTCATTCGGGTGCGCGGGTTCTATCAGGTTAGAGACCGCACGTAATCACTTGTCGAGACTTTCTTTTGTGCAGGTCTCCTGTCGGTCGGAAAAGCGAATGCCATGTGGATGCATTGCGTGGTTTGGTTGGCTTAGCTAGAGAGAACAGACCCGAACCATGGCTGAAACACCACAGATCATCGCAAAACAGCTGAACAAGACCAGTCGCCGGTTGGCTGTGCAAGTCATTTTAATCAGTCCAGTTCATGAGAAAGAAACCAAAGGAGTTCCAACTCTACTGCAATCCCATGAATAGAGCTCTAGGAAGTGAGTCAGTGAATCCTTATTTCATGCAACTTCTTTGATCCACGGCTGGAATCCCAAAGACTCAGACTTCAGAATGCCACGCCACTTACCTGGGTTTCAAAGCCTCGAAACCGCCAAGCCTGCACTCAAACCGGTGGTCGACCGGTCCACTCAAACCAACCAGTGCCATGTGACGGCAACACGGCTCTTCAGTGGTCTGCGCGACGAGGCGCAGCGCGACCCACCGCGATGCGGTGCAAAGATACAAATTGAATCAACTTGATGCATTGTGATAGGTTAAAAGTATCCAAAAGTAAAACAAATCATTTGGGAACATCTATGAAACTGAACTACATCTTGCGTCCGGGACGACTTTTATTCAAGACATTTCAAGACCAACCTCTCGCTCCCGTCCCTCTCTCTCTCTCTCTTGTGGCAACCTTTTTCCCCATCTTGATAGTCAGATCTGATATCAGATCTCTGCGTATACAGCATCGGGATCATGGCACGTGTTGGTGTTGGAATTCTCATGTGCGGAAGGATGTGTGCACGTTTTTGCCGGACACCGGTGTGGGGCAGAATTGTCCAGCCTTGTAGGTCTGGGAGGGTGTCGAAATGGAGCAAGGTCAAACTGTAAATTCCCTTATGGATATACGACACTTCCAGGATTCCACGTCGATGACGAGGTGCTCCTGTTTTGGGCGAGCAAGAAGACTTCATGTCTGCTACATATTCGGGATTGCCGAATCCAGAAGTGGCATGGTGTACATGAATGACAGCTAGGTTGCCGGGGCCGGCCGTTGTAGAAGATATCATTGCTGGATTGCTGGATTGGACATCATTCGGTCCGTTCGTCCAACACCAAGCTATAATAACTGCTATACTATATATCACCAACGACCCAGGCCAACTTGCATGAGTAGTGTCAGTAGATGTCAGTAGTGCGTTTCTTTGAACAGCAATAGCTTTTCCCTAGATCTATTTAGACTGCTTTTGCAGGGGCATTGCTTTTGCAGAATACCCCATCCTCGGCCCCTGAAAACGACTTCGCTCCGGTCACGGTCAGACTCATTCCTGTGCACGCCCGCGCGGCGGTCATCGGGTGTCAGGTCGACGGGCCCATGAGGTGCGAGTCGGGTCGGTGCGGATGAAGAGCGATGGGGCTCCAACCGAATAGTTAACATGTACCTGGACCTTCAAGGGGGTCACCAATGGAGGTCCCTACATAAGTAAATATCAATGGTTGTGGAACACGACTTTCCCCTAGAAACCAGGGGGGGGGGGTTGCATCTCCGAGTCGGAGGGTTCATGCTGGTTAGCATCGCTAATTCAGAGATTTGATTGCCTTGGTCCTTGTAGTAATAGATGTTGTAGATACTGCCAGGAGTTCCAGACTTCGGGGTGGGCTGAACCCCCCTCCACTCCGTGCCGTGGATGGGATGGTTGTTCGGGGCAGCAAGGTGAAACCATCCCTCCACTCCTTGGGCACTCGCGGTGGTACTGAGTGAACTAGCATGTCGGAGCTTATGAACTTCCACCCCCAGGAGATCGAGGGCGATGTTACTTGATGTCAATCACGTGGTGACTCTAGCTGCGTGTTTTTTAAACCATCACCAGGGTTTCTTTGAGAGAAAACGCATGTTGCCTTTGGGGACCAGCTGCCACCGTGCTCAGCCTGCTCCCTCTGCGGTTCCGGTGGAGAGATGATTTGGCTTCACCCTGGCCATGTCGCTCTGGAACAAGATCCTTTCGACATGGGCAGGCTAGCAATGAAAGGAACCCCAGCTCAGGTTTTAGGCGCAATTGGACAGGAACATTCTGGGAAGTTGTTCACTTGTTTCTTCCTGATCCCATACGGTTTGATCAACAGTTTAACAGCCCTACACCAGCAGGTGTTGCAGGATCTTGCACTTTCACGGTGTTGCATCATCATGCGTGTCGATTTCCATCAATACGGCTGTCAGGATATCAATTGCACCTGGCTGACGTGGGTCACAAGCCTATGAACGTCATCCATGGCCTCATCAACCAATAGCATCCTACTTAACCTGCTTCTTTGTCAACCAGCTTTGCATCTAACTTCAACTTCAAGTTCACTTGAGACATGATGTCTACACTGAGAGGAACCGGGCAATCTTTGCCCAACCAGGTGTGCACTTGTCTGGCTATGCTTCACTGTTTGCTCGACCACTGTCCAGGCCTCGGGACCGGGACCGGCCGGAGCGAGCGAACTCCGGGTCCTGTCGCACCGGTCGCACCCGATGACGTATGGTCCAACTTCCAATCAAATGATGAAAAATGACCAAAATCAATAGATCTATGCCAGATGGCTCTAGGTTATCTCTATGCCAGACATGGAGGATCTGGGTTTTCTTCATCCGACGAGAATTGGCCGGCGGCCTGCCGAGCCAGCGGTTCCACAGCACGAGTGCGGTGCCGCGTTTTGACCAATGCCGCCTGGCGGCACCAAGGCGGCACCAAGGCGCCTTGAGAACGACGGTCCAAAACAACACCTTTTTAAGGCCGTTTGGAAAAACAGCAGATGTTATATATGAGTCATGAGTATGAATTCTGTGGTAATGTTAAAATGTCGTGCTTTTGTCGCCAGCCCTCGAAGTCGGTGGCCTTGTTGTGATTGCGGGTTGGTTGGGTGTTGCTGTTGCGTTTGCTTCCGATACGATAAAGCAAGTGTTTGACGAGGAACGCCAGGTCAAAGGTATAGTATTTGGGAATATTTGGGACGTATCGTGAAGAAAATGTTCACCCCCACAATCGACACTGTGACAAAGTGATACGGAGTGTTGATGGACAACTAGTAGCACCACCTAAGACTAAGATTGTTTTGGGGGAGCAGATCCGAGTTATAACTACTGGAGCATGGGATGACATGTGATGAAACCGTCATGTGATGACAAGTGATGGCATGACATGTGATGAACGTGGTGGGCTCTCAGGATGCTTCAGACGTAGTTTGGGAGGCGGAAAAAAAAGGCAAGTATAACACTCCTTAGGTTGGAGGCCATCGCTAGTAGGTTGGAGGCCATTGCCTGTAGGTGGAATTCTCAAATCCTTTTTTTCCTTTTCAGTGTTTTCCGCTGTCCCCCAGTCATTGAGCTCCCAAGATGGGTGCCACACGCCACACAAGACCAGGTGGCGCAACCTGGCTACTGGGAGGCCCTCTATGCCGGGGTCCCAAGTGTTCACCTGGGGATGCGACCTGTTTCCCAGACACTCCGTGGGACTGCCATGTATGCCTACATTGTAACCACTCCAACAGATCGGCATATATGGCATTGGGTGATGTTTACTTTCCCGAAGGGCCCCCAAATTCGACACTAAAAAAATCGCTTTCCTCGCTGGACAGCCAGAACCCAAGAAACCATGTTGGCATCTCTTGTGCATTTGATCATGTTTTTCTCCTGCGCGTTCGATGTGACATCGTCGTCTTGAAGGGGCAGCAGAATCGGCGGACGCCTTCGGCAGCTGTGCATCTTCAAGCCGATCATGTGCCATGACCGCCGAAGTATCGCCATCCCCGCAACAACGCTCCCAACGCTAATGTATGTATAAATATGCCAGTCCCATGAAGTGTCTGGGATAGGGATTCTGCCAGAACATCCCGACTCAGAGCGATTTCTTCGCCGTCCCCATCGCGCCAAGGCCGAAAGCACCCGGCTCAACGCCACGGACGCGCAGACGGGAAAGCGAGCGCCACGTGTCACGGTTTGCTTCGATGGCACAACCAAACCCGGTTCGACTCTCTTGGATGGGGGTCCAAACGAACAACCTCCGAACCAAGTGGGCACTTGTGACACTCGTGCCATCGAACCTCTCAATCCACATGAGTATGTCCAGAATCGCCCAAAGCAACCAGGTTTTGATGCAAACGGAACGGCCCGGTGAGTATGCAAGGCCAAGGCATAGCCGCACTGAGTTTGCGGAGTGCTCAGATGTGCCCTTGTATTTGTACGTATTGAACGAGAAGACTGCCTTCTGCCCACCTGGTTGGTAAGCAAGAAGGATCTAAGAAGAAGGAGAAAGCAGAAGAAACAGTACCGAAAAGTCAACAATTACATACAATATACAATTGTGTCAGGCCCTTCCGAAAGCATGGATGTTTCAACAGCATGGAGGCTTCTTCATTGAGATCTTGCCTTCGCCCCTGAAATACCACATTCAAGCCCAGGATGAACTCAACTATGCCAACAACCTATTGGTGGCCTCTGGGACCAAAAATGCCAACCCCAAGGGGTCACGCTCGGCCTTTCCAACCTAGTCTATGCCAGGACCAAGCTCCAGCCAGTTCCCCAAAGCTCTTGGAGGGTTTTTTCAAGCGGTGATGCGGAGCAGGCAGAAAGAAATATGGCAGTGGGGCCCCAAATGAGGGTAGGTTGACCTCCCAGGCGGTCTATTCTGTTCATGGGTGGTCAACCGGTCGATCCCCTCCTGCACGTCAGCCAAAAGTCTTTGATCTTCTTGTGCTGCGCAGGTACGTGCGACAGGTCAGTGAGCCTGGCGCCAGTGGTAAGGTTGGTACGTCGATCATGCGTGCTGGCGGCATCATGCGAAAGCGGCATCCACAAAGGAAAGCGGCCAGAAGTTTGGCTCACTGGTACCAGCTCCAGGCAGCAAGTGTAGCCAAAGATTGTTTTGCCACTTTGAAGACTGCGCCGTCAGCGCAACGAGAGCGCGCTCGCCGGAGCGAGCAGAGTCTGAGCAGATCGATTGGTTGAGGTTGCTTCATCCACCTCCAGGTGTGCTGAATCTGGATCCTCCACTCGGAACTCTACGAAGCCTCCTCCGGCGCGCAGTCAGACTGGCACTCCAAAGGGCGCAAAGGACCGAAGGACCTGGGGCATGGAAGACCAAGCATGGCAGAGACCCGAGACCAGACTGGTTCGATCCCTCATTCCCTTCCGAAGACAACTCCTGACGCTGTGCCACGGGGCATCGGATGACGGCCGAAGCACGTGGAGACGGGGCATCGGATTTGCCGAGCCCCGAGAGGTGAGGCCTGGTGCGCGAGCTGGTGTTTCAGTGGGCCTGGCAGCCACCAACCTCAGACAAGGAGCATGACTGCAGGACGAAGTGCAGGAAGATCCTTATCCCAGCCTGGCAATGTGATCCAATCTTGGCGCTTGGAGGCGACATGGATTCTGCCAGGAAGAAGACGCTCGAGCAAAGGGAAGCTCCACGATTTGGTATCTGAGCTGACCTCATCCAGCCTTTGAGATCTTTGGGGATGCAGCCAAGCGAAGACTTCGATACTTGGTGTGGTTTTAGACTTATGGGCCCCCAAACAAATCCGTCCAATCCATATTGCGACTCATTGATCGCAGTCGCCACGTTTGTCCCTTTTTCATCCATTTATATAATAATGGTCTCCAGACCCTATAAGACTAAGCTGCCTGCTTGGGCCGTCTCTTTGCCGCAGGATTTCAACTCCTCGTGGCAGGGAGTGACCTTGGAGAGACTCCTCCAGGTAGGTTGCGGGGTGTGGTGCAAACAGCCACTGTTCAGTCAGCGGTCGCGGGCGAGGTCGACATTCGACCGTCAGAAGGTGTCAAAAGACCGGGTCGAGCAATATCATCCGGCAAAATTTCACTCAAAGAAAGAGACATAGATACGCAATACAGAAAGAAGGCCTGTTGGACATCTGTAAGACATGCAAGGAAGAATATGGTCAAATGATGTCAAATGTATTTTTTCCGGGTCGATGTTGTTGTTTGTTTCTTGGTCCTGGATGGGGACGTCATGGATGGGACGCCGATGGTTTACAGATACAAGTTACAGGAAGGTGGACGAGGTTGACAAGCATAACGACTTGCATAATATAGTGGCATGATGTGGCATGATACGTGATCATATATCATAATTGTTTGTTTCGATGTAAACGAATTGACAGTCGAATCGAGAAACCACCGACTCACTTCTCCATGTGACAAGTCACCACTGGCCAATTTCTTCCAAAACCTGGTCCTCCCGCCGCTCTTTCTCCAAAGTGCTTGGCACGTTCTTGACAGGTCTTGGACCATCGTCTCCAGCTCAAGGAGGCTCGGCGGCCGAACGAATATCGAGTCCATGTCTTTCAGACGAGACTTCCGTCCGAGACTCGAGTCCATGTTTATTTGTCCATATCGTTTTTGAGGCTGATCAAATCAACGTCCTTTCACCACCCTTCGAGCTCGAAGAGGTTCAGGGGGCGGACGTTGGTTGGGTGTTGAGCGGAGACACCTGTCACTTTGGTGGTTTGTGCGGACCAATTGAATCAATTGGTGATTCTACCGGTGTCCCAGTAGCCCGTTTCTTCTGCGGAAAGCGCGGTAGAGCTCTGCGAAAACCGAGTCCCAAAGCCCCAGAAGCCTCCAAAGCCCGTTAAAAAAACGTTTGGTTGACCTGGTGTCCCAAATCCGTGGAATCTCGCAAAATCAGCGCGTTCTTCTGATCTATATCAATTCATGGATTATTCGACACTGGACCGGCACACCGAGTCCCTTCGTCGCTGGACCGGTTCCTTCATCGCGAGGATCAGCGCGTGGTGGTCCTCGGGAGCGGAGACTCGCTCCTCCCCGAGGCGGAGCGCAGCCGGCGCGGTGGATAGCGCCCCGGATCCGCTAGCGTCGCAGCGGGTGGTCTGTCGTGCTAGACCAGTGAGCTCCGCCATCAGTCTGATGATGTTGGGCACCGTGGTTTGGAGCCCAAAAACATTCCAAAACCTCTCTTGTCAGATGGCTAAGCATCATTTTTTTGGTCCTCCCACGCACCCCACCTATTCAGTATGATTTAGAAGCAGGTTGCTTGAAGGAGGACATTGCTGCCAGGGGTTTATATTGATGCTTTATGAAGTAACCGGGCTTTTGGACGGGTGAACTATGATTCTATGATGGGCTTGAGCAGATGAATTCACCCTTCCATGTGACCAAAGCCGAGAAACCTTTTCTTCACCTTTCTTGATCACATCATCAACACCACCACCATCATCATCATCATCATCAACACCACCATCATCATCATGATCATCATCATCATCATCATCATCATGATCATTTTCATTTTCATCATCATCATCATCATCATCATCATCATCATCATCATCATCATC